CACAGTAAACACAAGTATCGATCAGAAGTTCCTGGTTCTCCCACCACCGACATTCCCAGCCAGCGAAACGGAAAACCAGTTCAAATGAACCGAGGTTAGCTTGATGCTCGCTTAACAGGCCATTTCAGCAGAAACGGACTCAGTGAAGCAAAACATCCACAGCGAAGTACAGGAGCTCTGTATTAAACGCTGCTAACACGCTGGACGGGCTCGGGGTCATTTTGTGGCTCTGTGGTCTTTTAGGGAAACAATATTAAGACGTCTAACATGATGAGACTTCAGTCGACGTCTTTGCCCGCTTCTTGTTCGAATTTTCCCGCTCCACCTTAAATGGTGCAGCAGTTAAGTCACTTTCTGCAGTGTTTCTCAAAGCACGGCGCCTTCAGGACCCGGATTGAGAAACTCGGATTTAAGGTGGAACGGGAAAATGGAACAAGCTGGTGAATGAGAAGTTGCTGCGCTTCGTTCTAACATGGGGGTCTCTCTGGCAGCGGTGGGCTCCAGGAGAAGAGGAACGCTCGAGCTGTTTGGAAACGCTGTGCGGCCGATGGCGGTCTGGAAAAATCAGGCTTCTGTCTCGTTGATGACGTCATATCTCCTTCTGACGCCGTTCTACCGTTACAGCCGGCTGAAATGTTCCGGGTGGTATTTTTTCAGTTCACCGTTAGCAGAAAGGCCAACAGTGTAACTGTGGACCCGGTCAGTCACACGCGCGCGCACAATGTCCGCGCTTCATCTTCAAAAAGCCGCCGTCCTGCTAACGTTACTAGCTAACATTAACTCTGAGCTATTTTAGGCCTCAGTATCTTTATTATGGCAGTGATGTACAGTATGGTCACTGTTACTGGGCTGAAGGCCGTCTAAAGACGCGGGCTAATAAAAGACACCACACTAAAACCCGTACAGTCATCTTATGCTGCAGGACAAACCAAAGTCCTGAACTGAAAAGTCCAGAAGGAGCGAGATATCCAGCTACTTTAACCTCCTGCGTTACACGAACAACATTCTGGAGCTCCACAGAACAAACAGCATAAACCATAATAGGAGCAGAGCAGACTCAGCTTTACCTTCCCTGCCGCTCTCCTCGCGCTCTGCTCTGCGCTCTTCACCGTCGGAAAAAGGGGCGTGGTCATCCCGCTTCTCTGCTTCTGATTGGGCGGTGAGTGCACGATTACTGAGTGACCGCTGAAACAGGTCAGCGCGAGAATGATCATGGAGGAACAGATGTGCTGTTAAAGAGAGTGTAATCAAATATATGATGCAGAGTTAAATGGGGAAGGACTGCAAACGTTCAGGAAAGGTGGGAACTTTCCATGGAAATGAACTGGAATTAAATCATTTTCACAGGCTGCATTTGTCTGATGCTGACAGACAGAAGCAGATATAACTGTAAACCGTTGGAATAAAAATTAAAAAATAATAAAAAAAACAATTAACATCTATGATTTGAACTTAATAGGGACGCTAAAAAAAAAAAAAGCTGATTTATTCAGCACATAATCTCACACACGCAGCTGTTCTACCCACAATTCTGACAGTGTTTAGAGTGAATTATAAACATGTCCTCTAGTGATCCTCAAATCTGAATCCTTGTTTTCACAAGCGAAGTTATGGACATGAAAACATAACAATCCCTTTTGCTGCTTTTTCAGTCGTATAACTGAATTGTATTTAACACAAGGATTCAGTGTAGTTTGGATTTTTTTTTTATTTTAATTGAGTTCTAATTATTTAAACTATGTAAACAGTTATAAAATGTCACCTTCGTCATTGTTTGAGTCACCTTCACTCATTAATTCATCTTCATTAATAGGAAGAGTTTCAAACAGGATCAAATGTTTACTTGTCCAAATATGTGAAGATTATTTTTCACACCACTGCATTTAATTATTGATTTTTTCATAATGTAATTATTTTTATTATTTTTGTAATGGGTGTTTCCCATGACTATTTGTCAAAAAAGTTTAATGTCA